GCAGCAGGTTTGTTTAGCAAGTTATTTGCCAGTGAAGGACTAGTTTGTTATCTAGGGTCACACCCAGATTCCTTGCAGTCTGAGGGCGGGAAACCAGAGGTGCGATGTTGATTGTTTAGGTCAAGAGTGGCCGGATCAATCTTTTTCCCGGAAGGAAAGCCAGGTTCAGTCTTGTCAAGGTTGACTTGAGGTGAGTGAGCGACATCCACCTGTGAGGAGATGTCAGATAGACAGCGAGAGATGCGACTGCACACGACCTGGGTTCTTCTGAGCGGGGAAAGGACAGAATTAGTGTTGGGTGTCGTCAGCCGTAGCAGCTGCGCTATGAAAACCATGCGGGCTATGTCTGATCTGAGCGGTTTGTGTCAGGAGAAGAGGAGGGGGCCAGAACAGAAGCCCTGAGGCCCTGTAGTTAATTGAACAGAGAGGCTCGGACAGCTTACCCTGTTAGGTGCGGTCTTTGCAGGCTATGGAGGGTGAGGGGGGGAGGGAAAGCTGCCCGCAGTGCACTGAAACTCCACAGTTCTTGGAGAGTCTAGTGAAAGGAGCGATCTTGGATGTTCACGTGTCGAATCGCCAGCAGAGACGCGTCCAGAAGGATTGATGACAGAGGGAGACGGGAGAAAAAAAAAAACGCTTGCTTTAGCCCAATGCATGCAGCTCTCCTCCAGAGACAGCCAGGGGGAGCATTTTCTGCGTTGACGTGCCTGCCTTTGCAAACCAGACTTAGGTTGCCCGGATCCAGGAAGTTTGTTCTGATGGACGATAACAGGGAAGTTGTTTAAGAGACAGCGCGTTCAGTGCTTTTAGATCAGGAACGGGAGGAAGAGGACAGCGCCTGTAGTTCCCGCGCAGTATAACATCAGCACAGGTTGAGGAGGTGCGGTTTTCGCTTAGGAGAGCTGCGTCTTCTCTTGCTCCTCCTGAGACTGTTTGGAAAAGTGACCAGAATGTTAGAGAAGTGTTGATGGAAATGGCGTGAGAAACGATTTTTAACATATCAGAGCGATAGTCTGAAGGAGGTGTGGAGGATAGGAGTCCAGAGGGCAGTTGGAAGGACGAGGCAGAGGTAATGAGGGGTAAGAACCTCACTTGGAAGAGAGAGGGGAGAAGGAGGTCAGTGGATGTGGGTGAAGTGGGTCTGGTGCCCGAAGCGGGGTTAAAGGGTGAGGTTCAGAAAAAGAGAGCGAATATCATCAACCTTTTTCATCAACCTTTTTTTCAACGTCGCTTGACAGAAGGGAGGAGGGGGAAGGGGCTTTGGGGGGTTCTAAGAGGATGGAGAAGATAGAAAATAGTTTTTGGGGATTGGAATAGGAAGAATGGATTTTATCTTGAAAGAAAGTGGTTTTTGCCGGAGAGATCGAAGCAGAGAAAGAGGAGAGGAGAGCCTGATAGGTTAGGAGGTCGTCCTATCTGCCCGAAGGATGGTTATTTTAGCACGCAGTGCGTCATTTAGCCAGGGAGCAGGAGGGGACTGACGAGCCTGCCGAGATGTGAGAGGACAGAGAGAGTCCAGAGAGGATGAGAGAGTAGAGAGGAGAGTTTCTGCAGCAGAGTTTGGAGGCAGGAGTTGGAACGAGTCAGAGGAAGGGAGGGCTGAGACCACCGATGAGGCAAAGGTAGAGGGGGAGAGGGAACGAAGGTTGCGGCGGACAGGTGCAGGATGATTATTTCTTAATATCTTTCATTTTTGTAAAGCACTTTGAATTGCCTTGTGTTGAAAGGTGCTATATAAATAAACTTGCTTTGCCTTACCTTACCTCTATTACCTTAACTATTTTCTTCCCAACAGGTGGTGAAAAGTGGATCTTCAGAGACTCGGGTGGAGAAGAGAATCGTCATAACTGCAGAGTCTGACTTTGACCAAGATATGGTAGGAACATCCTGCCCGTAAAACAAAATAGTATTGGACAGGATTTTTAAGAACTAGTTCCGCATTTTGGATTATACCATTATTTGCTTTCTTGTTTAAAGTAAAATGTTAAGATAAATACTCTTCTCATAGCTCTCCAGGAAAAAGGTGTTGCTGAGCTTAGATTGACATAAAGACCAGAAACAGGAAGAAATAGCCTGCTTAGTTGTGTCCAAAGCTTCATTATCTAATGAATATAGAGAACATTTGACTTTATTATTTCATATAAAGACTAATAATAGTGCAAATAATGTCTGTGTTGCAGGAGAGAGACGGCGGAGCATCAGCATTGTGAATCAACACCTGCATTTACCCTTTGGCTCTTCACCTCAGACACACACCGACCGGCTCTACCTGCGCACACATATCCCAGGACAATATCTCGTAAATATGCACCTACCTTTATAGGTGAAAGAGTAGATACATCTAAGTAGATCCTCTTTGTTTTTCCAGTTATACGTAGTGGGGGGGGCTGCACAGTGCTCAAGTCTACGGCTTATCTCATACTGGTGTTAAAAAGCTTACTATACAATCTTTTATTGGTTAAAAAAACATCATTTTCAGTCTAGTGATCTAAGTTATGTTTGCTTTTAAATGCTTTTATTTTCCTAGTGGTTTTTACATTTTTTGGTTTTATACAAATGCACTGTTTCAATTCTAGTATAGACACCATTATCAGCATTTATTCCCTTGGTGATGCTGGGGGAACGTTAAGACTACATTCAAGGGAATTATTTTTGTTTACATGTCTATTTAATTCAAGAGAAAGAATTGTTTAAAACAAAATGACGTACCTCGCATCAATAAGTGAGCAAAGACATTCTGTGCTTAAATGTGGACAGTTGTTCCCTGCTCAGTTACAAAAACAAAAAGTCAAAAGCAAGTTCTTCACTAACCAGCCAAGAACCAGCAGCCTACACATTATTGTAAAGTTTTAATCCAAAAATTGATCTATTTTCAAATATTTCTCTATTTTATAGAATTAATGCTTTTATAGAATGTTTACACATTTGAGGTTTTTAAGTTATTCATCCATCTGCTCGTGGAATTGCAGGTTACCATTGTGCTGTTTACTGAACTTTGAGGTCTCTACTAAAGACCTGTCTTGCCTGAATCATTCTTATTCGTTTCCTCTTGTAGTCCACCAAGTTTATCAAACCTTTAACAATAAGACAAGGGAGTGCTTCCCTCAGCCCTTTGTTTTGTTCAGTAGTAGAAAGTCATATTTCTTTTAATATATTTGGTTGATAAGAAAAGTTTTACAAGCTTTGGTCTGTTAATCTCAGGTTTTGATATTCTTTGTAAGACTACAGACCTCCATATGATTGTACGAGGAATGTCCATATATGTATACCCAGCCAAGTGAGGTCAATACATGCAAAGCTGGTTTGTCCCAGTAACCGTGCGAGAGGAGGTACAGGCAGCTGTCCCAGTATATATGTGGCTTTTCTCTCATAGGAGCACAAGTTGTCTTTTTTACATGTTCTACTATACAGTAATTTATTTGTAAAGTAGGAACTGTTGTGTGATTTGATGTACTGTGATGTTTCAACACAAGCTGTTTTCCAGGCTTTCACTAGAGATGTCACAATGTTAAATATTGCATTAATTATCAACCAAGTTTGTAAAGCCTTTTTACCACATAGTCTAAGTAGATTGCTCACACTTGCTGTTTCCTGTGCTTTTTCATAGAAGAGAAAACACTTAAAATATATGAATCCCTTTTTAGATAGCATGTTTGTTAGCCATTTGTTTTTTTTCTACCCAAAAATAAGCCATTGGTATTGTAGCTACATGGACAACAACAGAAACCTCTCCTGGAAGAAAATGTAGAATTTCACATGAAGAAAATAGTTGTTAGACAATGGAAAATATTTTTGCTTTGTGACTTATCCCTGTCTTTTTATGAAATAATAAAATATGCATAATTTTGCATTTTATTTGGCGTTCTATATGTGTAGCATACTTTGGTAAGAAATCTATATTTAATGCCATTCACTGTAAATGTTGCATGTTTAATCAACACAAAACTCTTGAAAAAAAAAAGTGAAATCTGTTCAGATTGTAATGTAAACATCAAACACATACAGGGTTGTCAGGAAAACATGTTACAGTTGTCAAAACAACATAATAAAACCACTGAATTTAAAGTGAAATGAACAAAGGAATACAATTTGAAATCCAGAATGTCCTTTTTTCAATCATTTTCTACTTCGAGTTTGCCATTGTTTTTTGGAAATACCTCCTGTTAACATTGACACATACACGTTAAGAATTTGATGGTATTTAATGTTGAATTTCCAAAGCATTGACTGACTCACTGATAGGAAACACCCGTTGGGCTGTTGGCAAGATGTTTTGTTACATTCAATTAAACCACAAAGCACACTGTGGCCTTCATGATCGAGTCAAAGGATTGACATCAATTAACGTTAAACACTTACAGGAGATTGACCCGTTGGTAATAGCTCAACGTTAAATAAGGAAGAGAAAAAAGCTGCTCAACTGTAACAGTGTTTCACTAAATAAGAAGTATGTCTAAATCTAAGCGTTTGGGAAACTGTACAGGCATTTATTTGGAATATATTATTCATTCTTTCAAACAAGTAGTAAACAACAAAGTCTTTCAGTCCACTGTGTTCGCCGGGCGGCGTTCTAGCGAATTGTCTTGACTGGGCTCTTGAAACTTGATGCAGCCTGAAGTTGGAGTTGATAGGCCATTGGGTGGATTTTGAAACCATATAGCCTGAAAAAAACAAAACATGAAACAAAATCACTTTCTGGCAGAAGTGCATTTTTATTTAGATACTAGTGGTAATAATACTTTAGTTTCAGTAGACAATAAAACATCTAAGATGATTGAAATTTAAATGATGACAAATAAGATAAATCTGACTACAAACAATGTCTACTTGTATGCTTAATCCATATGTATTTAAACTTGAAGTGTGTGTTTAATATTCAAAAGTGTGTACTGTTAATGCTAGTTAAAGCTAATACTAACAATACATAACTTGAGTCAGATCAAACGCACCTTGGCACAAACTGATTGGCTGGTCGCTTTGGACGATACTCCGGATGCACCATGAACAGCATGTGGGGGAACCCCGTCCCAAAATACGCTCCATCTGTGTGGTGGTGTCTGGAGGATTTGGGTGTGTAAACATCCATACACTTTGGGCAGTAAAGCTTCACCATTGCTTCTCCAGGGATGTCGGACAAACCTGCATCAGACAACAGATGGGTGAGTATGTCTGCAAATCCTCTAACAAAGGTCAAAGGTGCAGCATGTGCTTTGTGTGAGGCAGAACGTGTTGATAGGAAGTCAGACTCACCAATAGGAAGCATCGGCTGATTCTCACAATAGACTCTAGGGCAATAGCCGAAATCCCCTTGTTGATATTTTTCCAACTATGAAAAACAACACATTTCAAAATCACTGATGATTCATGTCATGGGGCAAGTAAGAACTTGACATGATTTAGTAATAACCTACCATTTGTGCAATGCCTCTGTTTGTGAGGATGTAACGTGCATGAATGAGCCCGTAGAGCATCTCCGCCGCCTGCTCGATCAAGTCACTCTGATTGGGGTTATCTTCCAGTTCCTCATCTGTCAAATTCAAGTGTTGACTATTAATAATTTAATTTCTCATGGGAACAGCTACTTCCTTGATATTCTCACCTGGCTCCAGGTCTAGAATCATGTCCAAAGCCTGGCGATAGTGAGGCACCTGCTCATTCAAACCCGTCAGGTTAAACTTGTCCTGTATGTAGTCTTCATCTACCTGTAACACACACAATTGAAGATGATGAATGGCTATTAATGGTATGTATCTGTTGCAACAGCACATTGCTCAAGCACACTGATAAGGAAGCATTATGCAAGAGCTTAAAGGTGGGGTATGTCATTTTGGAGAAACCAGCTTGAACTAGAATTTGAAATATATACACATCTGCCACTTCCTTACAGAGCCCCTCCTCCAACACGCACGAGATAAGTTTGTGCACAGAAGGAAGGCTGACAGGCAGGTAGGCCATCCAGTTATTTTAGCCGAGCCGGCTCAGATGATTGGTCGTACTTTTTACAGTACTACGGCTTCCACAGATGACATTTATTTATTTATTTATTGTCAAAGCATTTAATGTATTAATTTCTATCAGGATGTTAAGAGCATTCCATGGAATATAACAAAAAGTGTTTCTGAAATAAAGTACATACCCCACCTTTAACAGGATTACTTAGATCCTGCCGATGAAGAAAGCTTGGGGTTAGAGTTGTATTGTGTTATTGCTAACTTAATCAGACCCACCAGTGAGATGCACATTGATATACTATACTGACAACACAATTAGTTTTATGTTAAGTGTTTTATTCTTATTTAACTTGTCTCTCTTTATAAAATGTTTTTTTTTTAAAGGCACCATATGCTTGGGTGGAGCAGAGTAGTAGCAAACAGCAGAGGGAAGTGGCTCTAACTGGGAAGTGCTTACTTTTTACAGCAGTATTTGTGTAAATAGTTTTAACCTTTAATCCAGCCAGACATGAAACTGATCTCACACATTTGTTTCCGGCTTAATGTGAAACCACACTGTGACACCAAATAGTTCATGACTGTTGGTTTAAAAAAAGAAATACTTTTGCTATATGCAAGTTTACATATAAACACCCCTGCAGATCTTTTCTTAACACATTGAGGCTTGCGTGTCTGATGCGGCTGTTTGCATATGCGATGTAAATTTCCCCTCTATGGGACTAATAAAGGTATTCTGATTCTGATAGATGCGCTATTGTGTGCTAAGTGTATTCATATGTTTATAAGGTTATAGCTAGGGATGCTCCAATCATCAATTTTGGGGCCGATTGCCGGAATCAGTATCGGCCGATACCGATCGCCGATCCGATCGAGTTGGTGGGGCCTAAATGGAAGATTTAAACATCACTTTAAATCTTCCATTTAAAACTCAGTTAATGGGGCTCATTCACTGGAGCTTCCACAAACAACAATCAACTTAATTATTACATTCAAATGATGTACATTAGGGCTGAACGATATATCGTGTCATGGCGATAACCGCGAAATGCGCATCCGCGATATTCACATCGCAGCATGTGCGATTTTATTAATTGATTTTATACACAGGCACAGGAGGACAATACCGGCGAGAATGAAGATTTACTTCCAAAAAGAAAAGCAACATCTGCCATCTGGAAATATTTTGGATAAAGGTTCTTCTCTTCTTCATTCACAGATGAACCCCCTTATTTGAGGGGAAGCAACCTGCATTATCATGACATGTTAGATCATGACTTAACCCTTTGGAGTCCTGGGCTAATTTGGCC